TTTTTTTTTTTTTTTTTGAGACAGGTCTAGCTATGTAGTGCAGGCTGGCATTGAACTCACTATGGCCCAGGCTAGCTTCAAACTCACTGCAATCCTCCTGCCTCAGCCTCCTGGAGTGCTGAGACCGCAGTCATGTGCCACCATACCTGGCATGTAAGGTACTTCTGGATGTAGAGTGCATCTTTATAACAAGGCAAGGGTTTTACCACACTAACTGTAACTTACATCCTATACACTTTTACAAACGTTATTTCGTAACTAAAATGTATCTCAGTGGTGACAATTTGTAACAGAACGAGCAGGGAGCTTCCTAACCCTTGAAGCCTCCTGTGTCCCTCTACCCTGTCGACTGAATCTCAGCCTCTGCTGCTGGCTCTGTCCTGGCTCTGACCACTCTGGGTTCAGCACCAGAACAGGGGTTTGCTAGAGCCAGAGCCCAGGCTGGAGTCCCCCCAGGGCCCACAGCTCACCGCCTGGCACACAGAGGCCTCGTGGAACACTGCAGTGTTCCTCAGGCACACTAGACCTGCCTCGTGACACCACCTTCTACTGGCACTGTCAGGCTCCATGTCTTTCTGCCAGTACCTGCTCCCCACCCTGACAATGGCAGCAGACGACCGCAAACAAACAAGCGGGTAGTTGGCTGTTTTTTTCCACCCATCGTTCTATACCCACTCAGGAATATTCCCCAAGGCCTTGGAAAGGACCGTTTTCTCTGCCTGAAATGCCTCTTCATTCTGCTGAACTCCTAGTCATGCTTCGAAGGCCAGCTGCAGTCTCCACTCCTCCGTACAGTTCACCTTCCTCAGAGGCCGCACAGGTCCTTATTTCCCACACCCTGCTCCACAGAACCCTGTTTCCCAACTTCTGAAGCTCTTTGAATTCCTGTCATCCTCATGGCCTTGATCTGGCCCACTTCCGGGCCTTTCAGTCACCCGTAGCATCCTGTATGTGCTAACAAGTCCAACAAGGCTCCAGGGTGCTTGCGCTTAGGAATGTTCTGGAAATGTGAGGCGCTGCCTGGAGGTGTCCACCACCACAGACGTCCTGGGATGCACAGGGTTCCTGCAGCCTCCCTACTGGGCACGCTAGGCCAGCCACCAGAGGGCAGCTGATAGGGTGGGGCAGGGTGCCTACAGGGTGGAACTGAAGCGGAAGGGTGGAGCCAGAAAGGTGCCCAGGCAGGGGCGGAGTCATCATTCGCACACAGGGAGACCAGCCTTACAGCCTGAGGAACGCAGCACTGGCTTAGCCCAGGAATGAAGGTCTGCAAAGGCCAAGGCAAGCAGCAGCTCCCACTCCTAGGCAGCGTTAAACCCCAAGCAGAGCAGAGCCTCAAATCCCAGATCATGGAAAGAAAGCACATACTCCTTTCTGGCCAGAGAGCCCTCCGTGTGGAGGAAGGGCTTGACCAAGGGAGCCACAAGCCCACCCTGCTGCCCAACCTGCTGTCATCAGAGTAGAAACACTCAGCCTCTCAGCGTCTCTATCCCTCAGGAAAGTCACTTCCCGGAGCCCACTTTTTATCAAAAATGCAGATAAAATCCACAAGGAGTGGCCGAGTATTAGACTTTGACTTAGGTGTGGTGGCACATCCCTGTAATCCCAGCACTTGGGGAAGCCGAGGCAGAAGGAGCACCGTGAGTTTAAGGCAGGCATGGACTACATAGTGAGTTCAAGGCAGCTTGAACTACATAGTGAGACCCCGTCTGAAAGAACAAAATAAAAACAAGTAAACAGACCTTGAAGCTAGGCATGGTAGCACAAGCCTATATATAATCCCAGCATCTAGCGGGGCTGAGACAGAACTGCCATGAGTTCGAAGTCAACCTGGAATACAGCTGAGTTCAAGGCCAGCCAGAACTATGTAACGAGACCCTTGTCTCACAAAGACAAAAACAACCAGGCATGGTGGCACATGCATATAACCCCAGCACTCAGGAGGCTGAGGCAGGAGGATTACTCCAAATTTGAGGCCAGCCTGGGCTACAAAGTGAGCTCAAAGCCAGCCTGAACTGAATAGTGAGACCCTGTCTCAAGACAAAAACCAAAATACAATAAACAAAAATAAAAAGGGCTGAGGATGTAGGTTGGTGCGACGGTCCTGGGGTAAATCCCTAGTAGCACATATGCATATATGTGCAAAGACCTTGAGTAGGCACCAGTAGAACTTAGCAACCTCCCAGAGACAGTAAAGCCAGGTTTGGACGTACACACCTGGCTGGACCAGCCTCAGCTCCTGGATAGGGCTCAACTCTCAGGCTTGCCCTCTATCCTTGCACATCCACGCAGGTCGAGAGGCCAGGACAGGTTCTAGGATGTGGGCAAACGGTGCACCCCTCCCCCAGGAAGGTACAGTCCCAGGGAATCCCTACCCATAGCACCCCAACTCCCCAGGCCTGGGTCCCTCCCCCTTCCGGAAAGAAAACCCCATATTGTGTAACAATTCTGAGTTCCTCAGCCCTTACAGAGGAAGGGGAAAGGCAGGCCACAACCTCAGCTACAGCCACACGGCGGCAGGAAGTGCTTTGTCTCAGAAAGAGGAACAACAGACACCCAAGTTGAGAAGGTGATGAATGTCTCACGTGTGATAGCAGGAGCCACATGGGGTGCGGATTCCAGGCAAAGAACCTGCGGTGGCCTGGCCGCTCAGTTTCCAGACCTTGGGGCTTCAGCAGCCTTAGGGATGGCTGGCTCACCTCACGACACTAGTTAAAAATCCTGGGAGCCACCCTCCTCCAAGGACCTACAGGAGCAAAGCCTGTGTGAATGGGTGTGTGTGTGTGTGTGTGAATGGGTGTGTGTGTGTGTGCGCCACCCTCCTCCAAGGACCTACAGGAGCAAAGCCTGTGTGAATGGGGTGTGTGTGGGGGGGTACGGTATTGACTCCAAGGCAGTATTTCCTTCTTTGACACATGAGCCAACGGGGGCCCAGAGTGCAAGCCTGTGGTAGCACCTGGCAGATGACCTAGTATCCTATGGTGCCCTCCAGCCTCTAACATTGGCCAGGGACAGTCCTTCCCCTAGCCCATCAGAAAGAGTTCTAGAAAGGGTTTGGGGATGTAGCTCAGCAGTCGAGCACTTGCCTAGTGCGCGCAGCACGTGAGTTCAATCCCCAGTGCCGCCAAAATTTTAGAAAGTCCTAGAGAGCCTTAATGCCCACCTGTGCCCCTTCCAAGGCAGTTTTATTGGTGCCATTTGCAAAAGGTCTTTCCATCAGCCTCAAATCTTTGCCTTTCCTTTACAAGGCAGCCAGTACTGGCCCTGGCCCCACAGGCAACAGCAAACCTTGATCTGATTCTGCCACAACACCCACATGTGACACTCAGGGTAAGGGTCCCAGTAAGTGCAAGTCTGTGTCGGGCCCTGGGGAGCAGGGGGATGGCGAAGACAGCTAGGTCTGTGTGGGGACACTAGACAGAGCCCTGGCTGGCTAGAGATGCATAGGCAAGGTGAGCAGGCCCATGTGCACCCAGCTCCAGGCCCACTGGTGTGGCTGAAGCCCAGGTGGGGGCGGTAAAATGAGAGATCCTGAGAGAAAAGCCCTTAGGCCAATGAGTGCGGAGCAGGCCAGGGCAAGGGCCAGAGGGGCAGTGCATGAGTGGGTACCTGTATGCACTGGCGTACATGTGCACAGAGCCAGGGTCAGAGACACGATGGGGGCTTTGGTGAGTGTGGCTACACCGCCCATCTTTTGTGATCTGCAAGCCTGAGTCTCTGGCCTCCTGAGGCTAAGAGAACACACCTGGGGGTGGAGGGAGTTTGGGAAGGAAACTGGGCTGGAAGTGGTTTAGGCCTCAGAGCCCACATCCTGCAGAAGAGGCTGTCAAGGAGCTGCCGTCCTGGAGCAGTCTGAGCGGCCAGACGACAGTTCTCTAGGGGCAGAGATGGTCACTCTCCAGGGCAGAAGGTGGACTGGAGACTTGGAAGTGGGGTCAGTCCTGCAAGATCCACGATCAAGAGGCCTCTGACGGGCGCTGCCCCCCATCCTCCTCCATCAGCAACAGGCGGCGCCGGCCGGCCTCGTAGTCGGCCTCGTCCACACTGACCAGCAAGCGGACGGCCTCCCGGCCCACGGCCTCGCGCAGGGCCTCAGTCAGGAACACGCCCCGCAGGGCCTGCAGCAGGGCGCCACTCAGGTAGTCACCCCAGAAAGCATCCAGATAGGAGAGCTCCGAGAACTTGATGTCACAAACCACGGAGCCCAGGTCCCTCGAGCGCAGCACTGCAGTGGCCTGCCCAAACACGTCCAGCTGCCGCGCCAGTGCCTGGGGTCGCCGGGATGCCACGCCCTGCTCCAAGGCCGGCCCGTGCTCACAGTACTCTGCTCGAACCCGGAGGCGGATGTCTGCAGGGGAGGAGGAACTGTCAGTGGGTGCCAACACCCCACCACCCTTCCTCCCTGGGCCTCCTCCCACAGGCTCCTCTCTCTGCCCCTGCCTCCCACTGCAGCCACACCCAAGGGCTGTGAAGTCCTCCCACCACTTGCTCCCTGAGTTCTGGCCTGTCGCCTCCCTGATCTCGTATCTCCCTCCCCCAACTCCAGGCAGGCTCCAGCTCAGCCCTGGCTCTCACCAGCCAAGATCTCTTTCCCCAGATCCCCACAGAGCTTGCTCCCCTAACCCTTGCAGGTCTTTGTTCAAGCCTCCCCTTCCTGATAAGGCCCACCCACCACCCCATCCCCCACAGCATGCCCAGCTGTTATCCCCACGGCCGGCGCTCATCCCCTTCTGACACGCTCCACAGGCTATGATGCTCTCATGTCTCCCTCAGTGACAGCTCCCTGAGCGGACTTTCTGTTTTACTCACTTGTACAAGCTGTGGCACACAGTAGGTGCTCAGTACGCATTTGTGAAAGAACTGACACATGAACGAAATGCACCTGCCTTCAGACAACCAGCCTCCTACTCATCCCAACACAGTGAGCCCCGGAGCCAAGCACATCTCCATCCTCCCCAGCGAGCTCCAGGGAGGCCAGGGGCCTAAGAAGGACCTAAACTGACACTGCACTTCCAGGAGCCAAGTGCTCCCTGTCCACAAGGGTAAGAGGGTGGATATAAACCCAGAGCTGCTGGTGGTCCTTAAGCCACCAAAAGGAAAGAACGAAGCCCCCACAGAGCTAAGGGTAGAGGGGCAAAGATTCCAGTTTATCAAGTAGTCTTCGTGAAGGAGCATCGGAACCTTACCACGCTGGATCGTCAGCTATAGTCAACCCTCTTTCTTTTCCTTGAAGAGTTTAAAGATGGGTTCCAATTATACCTAAATCTGCCCAGGGGAGGTGGCAACTCTGTGCAAGGAATGGAACTACCCCTGGAGGTATGAACTCGGCCCTCTCCCCTCTCCTCTGAACGTCTGAATACCCACAGTGAAGTGAGGCTGCACCAGTGCCCCCGCTACACAGCCAGCACAGCGCTGTGGAAGGACGGGCTGGGAACCGCGGCAGCAGCCAGCACTCCTCCCTTTGCCTAGAGCACGCTGGCTCTCTACTGGTCACCACGCCCAGTACTTCAATCTCAGAGCTCATTTTATCCACAAATGACCCTGTCCAGCAAGCCCTACAAACGTGCCAACTTCCAGGTAAGGAAATAAAGGCGAAGTGAAAGGACTTGCCCAACACCAGGCAGCCGGGCAGTTACAGGGCTCAACCTTCCTATGCCCAGGGTGTGGGCTTCTCAGTCTGTGGAGCTGAGTCAGGAACTCAGGACCTTCAGACACTGCTGTGCTACCTCAGACAAGTTACCTCTCTGAACAAAGGTTCTTACTAAACCAGGACACAAGTCCTGCTGCAAAGTGTGGTTATGAGAACTAAAAGAGGGGCAATGGATTGAAAGAACCAATTCAGGGCTGGGGATTAGCTCAGTGGCACAGCGCCTGCCTGGCAAGTGCAGAGTCGTGAGTTTGACTCCCGGTACCGGGGGAAAAAAAAAAAAAAAGAACCAGTCCAGTGTTGTGCCGGTGCCCAGTGGATGCTCCAAGAATGGTGCTGCCGAGAACTGCGCTGCGCCAAGTGCCTGACATGTGGGGATGGAGCCCTCAGCCAGGGGCCAGGGGCCGCCTCAGGTCTGACAGATGAGGAAACCAAAGCTCTGGGAGGGGAAGCCTCGTGCCGCCAGTGCCCTTCACCCCTCACAGTGGTGTCAGCAGAGAGCAGGCAGGTCCCCTGCGCCGCCAGATGACTTCTCACCCACTACTTCCTCCTTCCACCCCAAACCCTTCCTCCTTCTGCCTTGAGGAGAGCCCCATCCTCTCCACTCAAGACGCAGGGAAGCCTGCCAGCCTCAGCCCCGAGCCCCTTCCACAGCCCTTAGGCCTAGCTCCCTCCATCCTGAGGACCAGATAAGCCCTCTGGATCCTCATCCCTGACCCCTGCAAGCATCTGGCCATACCCCTGCAATGTGGGCAGGGACCAGGATGCCAGGAGTAACAGCACCTGCCCAGGGCCACACCAGGCGGACAGAGGCAGAGGCAGAGGAAGAGGCAGAGGCAGACCCAGCCGGCGGAGTCCCACAGACCTGGAGGTGAGTCCCAGTTCTGCCACTCTCTAGCTGTGGGGCCTTGGGCATGTGACCTCACCTCTCTGAGCCTCAGTTTCCTCATCTGAAAAATATAAACAGACAAACAAGAAGTCCCTGCTGCACAGTGGGGTCATGAGAATTAAATGAGGCAACTCATGCAGTACCTGACTCAGGGGCTATGACACACAGAAGGGCCCAGAAACAGGAACTGTAATTTCAACACCCACCTCTACCCATGGCCCCAGCCCAGCCCTGCCTTCACCTCACCTCTCACCTGAGTCCCTAGGCCAGCCTCCTCCGCCATTAACGCTCCCAATTGCTATATCCTGCCCTCCGGCCACAACAAAGTGCTCCCCCAGCCCCCTCGCAGAATGGCCTGTCCACCCAGGCGTGATGGTGCATGCCTGTAGTCTCAGCACCTGGGAGGCCGAAGTAGGAGGACTGCCACGAGTTCAAGACCAGCCTGAACCATATAGTGAGACTCTGTCTCAGAAAGAAAGGAACAGCCTGTCCAGCTCCTCCTTCTGGAACACCCCCACACTCCCCACCAAGGCTCAGTTTCAGGGACCCCACTTTCTGGCCAGTGGACCCTCTTCCAGGCTGCCCTTCTCCTCAGAGCAGATGGTATTGGACCTGTGAAGAAACAAATCCTCTATCTCTTCAGCACAGTCCTCACCACGTGGGGGTACGCAGGGGACAGGCAAGGACAGACTTACAGGGCCTCCATTCAGTGGGGATTTACTGAGTGCCAGGCATTCAAGGGCGACACAAGGACACAGAGGTGTGTTGCACACAGTTAGGAAGCACTCCCTGTATGCCAGGCCCCACCCGTGGACCGTCCCTGCCTTACGGGCACCTAGTACTCCGGGCACTTTCATTACTCCTGTTTATACAATGACATCCCTCAGCAGCCACAGCCTAACTCCGATCTAGAAAACATGATCACAGGGAATCAAAGAGGGAGAGGACAGAAGGTTCCACGGGGCAGGAGAAGATGAGCTTTACCAGAGCCACCACTACCCAGCCCTGCCCTGATCCTGTGCTTTACAGGCAACCTCTCCTTGATCTCTCCTCCCCTACTCCTCCCCATCCTGCACCAAGAGAACAGGTGACATTTATATGAGATCTACGACAGGTTGCCACAGTACTGCTTTCCACACCCACTGACCCTCAGATCATCACACAACCCTGTGAGGTGATGCTGTTATTTTCTTTTTGCAGATAGGGAAATTGAGGCACAGAAGTGAGTCACCTGCCGAAAGCCAGCATTTTGAGGTGCCTGACTCCAGAGCCCAAGCTCTTAATTACCCCTGTCCTGTTCACTGCCTCTCATACAAGCACACACACAAATACATAATTAAAAGATACCCTGAAGGCAGGAGAGAAAATCATACAGAGCAAGTTATAACTAAATAGAAATGAGCAAAAATTCTTCTGTAGGAAATGACACTGAAAGTGAAATGTAAGGAGGACACATAAGATTAGCCAGAAAAACAGGAGAGAAAGGAAAAATAACTTACTGGAAGAAAAAAGAATGCTTGTCAAAGTCCAGGGACAAAATAAACTTGGGGCACTCACAAGCCAAGGGGCTGCATGGCTGGAATAGTGGAAGAGAACAGACAGAGGATCAGAGAGCTGGTCTCACTGTGCAGCAGACAAGCCTGGTTCTGGGGCCTCTGGAAGGTTATAACTTGCTCTGTATGACCACACCTCTCTGGACCTCAGTGGGCTCCTCCCTGAACAACGCTCACCCCTGCATCTGCTCTGGTGGGGCGATGGTGAGGATTACATGGCTGAACATACAGCCGGGCAACAGGACAGGGCCACCCGACTAACAGACAACTCCAGCTGTTCTGTAGGAGTGGGAGGGTGACAGGAAGAGGGCCAAGGTGGCAGACAGCAGACAGCTGTCCAGGACAGGAGCAATGGACAGGAGAAAGGTGGATGGAAGGGTCCGGGTATAGCAGTGAAGCGCAAGGCAGCACAAGTACCCAGCACCCATGCACCCGAGGCTGAGAGCTGCTCCCATGTTGGCAGTGGCAGAGAAATGCTTCCATCTCTGGGGCCGCAGGGGGGAGGGGTCTCACCCTTCCTTGAGAGAGCTGCTCTTGCTTCCTGTGCTCAAGTAAGCCCCAGCACCCACCTCACCCCAGGGTTTCTCTTCTGGTGCAGAATGAGAGGCACAAGCGGGAAGGGCTCCTTAGTGGGGCACCAGGCCCACTGGGAGCAGGCCCTGCCTTCACTGGATGTCTGGGAGCCTGAAGAGAGCCTCACTCCAGTCTTCCCTCTAAGCGCTCCTAGGTGAGTGAGATGGGGACAAAGAGGACCTCTGCTCCAGAAGCACTGCTGAGGAATTTCCAGCCTAGGAGGAAAGAGGCAGCCAGCATGCTTCCATGGAAATGCCCCACTGGCACAGCTGCTGCCTCCCCAGGGCCAGCTCTGGGAGCCCTCCCCAGCCTTCAGGCTCACTCCAGCCTCTTCCAGAGTCATCAAGTCGAAGGTGAAGCTCTCCATCTCCTACTAAACTAACGAACCAAGGCAATGAGAAGCCGCTACCCACTTAAAAAGGTAAGCAGCCACTGCCTGCTTCCTGATGGAAGAACCACCACCTAGGATGTGAGCCGCAAAACTCAAAATATCAAACCAGAGTCTGTTCAAAGTCGCTCTAGACTCAATTTCCAAAACACACAGACACAGGTGAATGCATTAAATCAGCCCTGTTCAGGATGCAATAACCAAATCCAGTCTTTGCGAGATGCTATGGGACAACCAACTGCTCTCCACAAATATAATGCTGGGCCAGGATAGGGGTCAAGATGGAAGGGAGTCCTAGGGATCTGGAGAGACTTTGAAGAACCTGTATTTACGAGACAATTATAGAAACTTGTACACTGATGACATATGTGATAGTGAGAATTACTATTATAGGGCGGGGAGACAGCTCAGTGGCTCAGCGCCTGCCTGGCAGGTGCAAGGTTCTGAGATCGAGTGCTAGCAGCAAAAACAAAAACAAACAAAGAATCACTATTATGATAATTTCTGGTGGATATTTTTAAGAATTTTTTTTCTTTTGGAGATTCACAGTGAAATATCTACCCCTTCCAGCAAGAAAGCTGGACGTGACTCCAAAATAATGTGGCTCATGACTCAAGAGCAGCCATAGGTGACAACAAAGTTTGATGGTGGGTTCTCATGGTTGTCATGCCAACGAATACACTTTGGTGTATTTTCCATAAAGTTGGCGTGGGGGTAAGCAAAACTGATCCTGCCATTCAAATACTTCAACTGCTTTCCATAATTCAAAAAATGCAAAGCCTAAGGCCCACAGTTCACAAGGCCCCACAGAAGCTACCCTGGTTACCTGTCCTGTCCTCTTCTCTAGCAGTCTGCCTTTATCCCCTTTATTCCCGCTTTGCTAGCTTCCTCACCAGCCCTTGACCACCATGGGTACACTCCCATTCATACCTCTGCTCGGGCTCTCCCCTCCATCTGGAACACTTCCCCAACATCTGAAGCTCCTGCATGGCTTTCCCCTCTGACCAAAACATGAGCTCAGTGTTGGCAAGTGCCTCCCAGTGCTTCTAAACCGGCCCTAGTAAGCTCTCAAAATACAAATGGACAGTAGGTATGGTGGTGCACACCTGTAATCCCAGCACTTGGGAGGCTGAGGCAGGAGGAATGTCATGAGTTCAAGGCCAGCCTGGGGTACGTAGTGAGCTCAAGGCCAGCCTGGACTTCATGGCAAGACCTTGTCTCGAAAAAAAAAAAAAAAAAAAATTAAAAAATAAAAGAACAAACCCAAGTTTCAGCCCACCTCTGACCCTGTCTCTCATACTAGTAACTTCCTTCCTTTTCCATGGCCTGTTTCCTCCTTTGCACTATGGCCGACGTCATCCCTACCACAATGGCTGTCTTAGAATTCAAGCCAGGAGAGTAACATATTTGGTATGGTACCCAGTGGATGGCTAAGAGGTGTGGAAGCTCAGGGGTTCTGCGTCCGAGCCCAGGACCTCCACATGCCCTTCTCATACCCTCAGGTACTCGGGAGTTTACTGTAGTCAAGGAGGGCCACTCGCTGGGGTCAACCCCACAAGTGCCACAGGTTGCTGGAGCAAGAATATCAAGCTTTTCCTCTATCAGGTCAGGAGGAGCTTCCTTCCACCCCTCACGTGGAGCCTCACAGCTTCCGTAAGGGAAGCCGTGCCCATTTTTCAGAGGGGAAAGCTGGGGCCTCAGTGGGGAGAGCCTCATTCCAGCCCCGCCCTGCCTGGTGAGTCAGCAATCAGACCTGCTTACCCATCTGAGTTAAGACCCAACCACACCCTGGCTAACAACCTCCTGGCCTCAGGAAAGACAGCTAAAGTCTGGCATTGCCTGCTCCTGGCCTCTCTGAGGCAGTGACTCCCTTACCCACCCAGCCAGCCCGGTGGCTCTGGTAAATTACTACCTGACTCTCGGAAGAGTCACCACCAGACATCCCCCCACCCAAGCGGGGAGCTGTCTGAGGACATGAGACTCTGTTCCTGATGGCATTCAGCACGGGCATCTGCAACCTCACCCACGAAGTGTGTCTGACAGCCCTCTGCCTGCAAGACCATGAGGGGCGCCAGCTAGGAAGGGCAGTCGTGAGTGCCTTGTGGGCTGCGGAAGGCTCTGCAGATGATGAGAAAAAGTACCTCTGAGCCAAGCTCTCCTACGGATACAGAGCTGCCCCATCTTCCACGCCAACCTGAACTTGGGGAATGCCCTTTCCAGCTCCTTCAAGCTTATCCTAGCAGTGGCATCTCCACAGGGAACCGGGGCCAGCAAGAAGGCTCCCCAAAGTACCTCAGCATTCATAGTATACATGGCACCTGTCACACCAGCCTGGGTAGCACTTCCTTTGTCTGACTTCTCTATAGCCAGGGAGTTGTGGAAACTGACACCATATCTGATGCCCTCTTTGCCCAACTCAGGAAAGAGAGAGCCAGAGATGGGAGAACCTACCTGTGGTTATGTCCTCCCCACAGGACAAGGTGGGATTTCCCTAGGGCAAGGACTGAGCATGAGTCTCCACAGCAGATGCCACCCTCCACTGAGCCAGTGCTGTCCGCAATCAGCCATACAACCAAATCCTCCCTTGTTCCACCCCTTCTTATGCTCTCCGACCTAACTGCCCCAGGCAGGACTTCTGCCGCCTCTGCTCGGGGGAGTACACAGCCTCTTCACGCATTTCCCTGTTTCCACATTACTCTATTTAACATGCATCCAGCAGAGCCTACAATAGAAGCCCAGGGTTGCCCTAAGCACTTCACTTACTATAATTCCCTTACTAGCAGATTTTCCAGAGGGGGTTAGAGTTCTTTTCATTTATTTATTTTTTAATTATTATTTTTTAT